AAAAGTGTACTCCAATGTTGGCTATATCATTATACTATATTGTATCTGATTCACAATGTAAAGTTTTAAGCAACAATTACAAAGAAGTATAGACTGAGTATAAAATGATTATGATTTATATAATAGCAGAGTTGAGGATGTTAAATAAACTTTCACTATATTTTCAAACTATACCTCCAAAGAGATCTGCATCTCTAAGAGTTTTGTGTAATCCAGCACAGCTGATGAAAARTCAGGTGATATACTTTGGTAGAGAGAAATGTCATTCCTGTACAAAGTACAAAACATTACATTGAAAAAATAAGTACAATATGTAAACAAYGTGGAAATCACATTCACATACTTTAAAAAACGTTTAATGGCAATAAAATGAGTATACTTGCCTGTATACATCTTTAATTGAGTGGAGGCGTAGACTTGGGTCTGATGATTTGACAGCTTGCTTGAATTTCACAATCTTTTAAAAAATTAGCACAAAAAGGCAATCATTTAAAAGAAAGATTCAGTGAGAGAAATAAAGTGAATCACAAGCAAACAAACAAAACAAAAAAATACTCACAGCAGCCTCTTCCTGTCTTCCAAGAATTCTRTCAAAAATGAAAATTAAAGAAGAAAATCCATTTAATTTCAATTTCATTCTTATCATCATTYAGATTTATCATGCGATAAAAGATGATTACTTCAAAGCCATATTATGGACATATAATTGGAAACCACAGTTTACTATGGGTTATAATACTAATGATAATCATCAAGCTTTAAAACCAGTTCTCACCTATAAAGATGTGCTAATTCAGTAAAYTCATAGTGCTGCTGTAGGTATTTACAATAATGGTCCACAGCCTTTTGGTTTTTACACAATTCCCTGACAAATATACCTGGAAAATATACTGCAATCACTTGAAAGTCAAATTTCACAAGTTCAGAACATTGTAAGCAGTTATGGTCGCAGTAAGCAGAGATGAGAAAGGAGACATCAGCTCCTCTTGATCCTCTCTTGAATTTATCAATAAAACATTTTCTGATTCTTCCTTTTTGACCCCATTATGATCTGGTGCTGTTTACTCTATTAMGTGATTCTCACCATTTTTAACTGTTCTTTTAAGAAATAAAATTACCTGTGAATCAAATGTGTAAATTAGAGATGGCAAGGATGATGAAAATATCATGCAGCTTATGTGTACATGTTGAACATTTTCACTTTTATGTGAAGATACATAGAGAGACAAAATGCATGTAAAAACTAGTGAATAGAGGAGGAAGAGTTTTGCCATTTTCATCCTCTAGTACACTTTAAT